CGGGTGGGTCGCATGGTGGGTCGCGGGTGGGTCGCGGGTTGGGTCCCGGGTGGGTCGCGTGGTGGGTCGCGGGGTGGAACGCGGGGTGGGTCACGGGGTGGGTCGCGGGGTGGATCGCGGGTGGGCCGCGGGTGGGACGACGACAACAGAACGCATCAACAACAACAACAATCAGTTTACCCTCATGCGCGATGTCTCCACATGAAGCATGCGACCATCATGACAACCATCCACATTATGGGGGACTCTTGTTCTATAGCGGGGTCCGGTATTCCCATTCCCAGATCTCCCGCCCAGTGAGGTCTTGCAAACACCTCCTCCGAGGAATTTCAACATATCCCGCCTCGAAAACACATGCCCGCCGCCTTGCTGCGCCGATGCGAGAACGCCAGTGGAACCCCAGCGAAGGGTAAAGCACAAGGAAGTATCGAACGACAGGATTGCCTTGGTGGGGATGTGGGCCGTCGGCGGTGAGGCAAGGACCTGGCCCGGAACAGTAAGGGAGGAAGTCTCGAGCAGGGCTGCTGTTGTTGCTGGGAGCGGCGCCAATGCTGAAGAGAGTAGGGCGCTAGTCCAGCGTAAAACAAAACGAAGTCTCGAGCGGGAACGCTGGTTTTGTTGGGACGGCTGCTTTCGGCGGCGAGGAGGAACACCATCTTGAGTCAGGAAGGAGGGAGCATCGAGCGGGAGTCGTGGTTTTGTCGCGACGGGGGCTGTCGGCGGCGAGGAACAGCACCGTCCCGAGGAAACAGAAAGGAAATCTCGAGCGGGAGCGTTGTTCTTGCTGGGAGCGGCGCCAATTCAAAAGAGAGTTGGGAACCAGTCAGCGTAAAACAGGAGGAAGTCTCTGGCGGGAGCGCTGGTTTTGTCGGGGCGGCGGTTTTCGGCGGCAAGGAGGAGCACCGCGAAGCATCGAGCGGGAGCCGTGGTTTTGTCAGGACGGGGGTTGTCGGCGGCGAGGGACAGCACCGTCTTCAGGAAAAAAGGAAGAAGCCTCGAGCGGGAGCGTTGTTCTTGCTGGGAGCGGCGCCAATTCAAAAGAGAGTTGGGCGCCAGTCCAGCGTAAAACGGAAGGAAATCTCGGGTGGGAGCGCTGTTTTTTTCGGGGCGGCGGTTTTCGGCGGCGAGGAGGAGCACCGCCTTGAGCAAAAAAGGGAGGAGGTCTCGAGCGGGAGCGTGGTTTTTGCTGGGGGCGGCGCCGATGAGAGAAAGACTAGCGCGCCAGTCCAAGGTAAGACGGGAAGAAGTCTCGAGCGGGAGCGCTGGTTTTGTTAGGATGGCGGCTTTCGGCGGCGAGCAAGAACACCAGCCCTGAACAAAAAAGGAGGAAGTGTCGAGCGGGAACGTTGTTGTTGTTGTTGGGGGGCCGGTTTTGGCGGTCCCCCAAACCGCTCGAGCGTGAGCCTCATTTTAAATGAACATGTAGCCGGCGCCTCGGCGAGAGTGCCAGAGCGCCTTTAAGGGGTCCAACAATTCTAGTTGTTTAGTAATTAACACTCAACAGCGCAACAAGCAGAATTCTCACCACGAAGTCTCTACTCAGCCACGCACCCAGGGACAATGAATGACCGTTCGGCCCCCTCACTCTTAAGAATAGTGCGACTAATATTAATAGATGTGGTAGTGGTACTAGAACTAGTCGTCGCAGCAGCAATAGTGATAGTAGTACTCGTAGTAGTAGTAGTAGTAGTAGTAGTAGTAGTAGTAGTAGTAGTAGTAGTAGTAGTAGTAGCAGCAGTAGTAGTAGTAGTAGTACTAGTGGTAGCAGTAGTAATAGTAGTACTAGTTGTTGCTGTGGTCGTAACAGTAATAGTACTACTGGCAGTCTTAATAGTAGTAGTAATAGCAGCAGCAGCAGCAGCAGTAGTAGTAGTACGAGTAGTAGTAGTAGTAGTCGTAGTAGTAGTAGTAGTGATAATGATAATGGTCGTAGTAGTCGTAATAGTAGTAGTAGTAGTAGTAGTAGTAGTAGTAGTAGTAGTAGCGGTAGACATAGAGGTAGTCGCAGTAGTAGTAGTAGTAGTAGTAGTAGTAGTAGAAATAATAGTGGTTGTAATAATTGAAGTAGTAGTAGTAGTAGTAGTAGTAGTAGTAGTAGTAGTAGTAGTAGTAGTAGTAGTAGTAGTAGTAGTAGTAGTAGTAGTAGTAGTAGTAGTAGTAGTAGTAGTAGTAGTAGTAGTAGTAGTAGTAGTAGTAGTACTAGTAGTAGTAGTAGTAGTAGTAGTAGTAAGTAGTAGTAATTGTAATAGGAGTGGTAGTAGTCGTCGTCGTCGTGGTAGTAGTAGTGTGACAATATCAGTGTTGGTGATTGGTGTTTGTGGCAGGGTGGTGTTTGGTGTTTGTGGATTGGTGCTTGATGTTTGGGGTTTTGATGTCTGAGGTTCAGTGTCTTGCGCTTGGTGTTCGATGTGTGGTGTTTGATGTTTGGTGTTTGGGGTTAGGTGTTTGGGGTTTGGTGTATTTGGTGTTTGGAGTGTGGTGTTTAGGATTTGGGGTTTAGTGATTGGCTGTTTGGGTTTGTTGCGTTGAGGTTTGGTGTTCTGGGTTTGGGTTTGGTGTTTGGGGTTTGGTGTTTGGGGTTTGACTTTGGGGTTTGGGGTTTGGTGTTTGGGGCGTGGTGTTTGGTGTTTGGGGTTTTGTGCTTGGGGTTTGGTGTTTGGTACTTGGGGTTTGGTGTATGGGGTTTGGTGTTTGGGGTTTGGTGTCGGGGGTTTGGTGTTTCGGGGTTGGTGTCTGGGGATTGGTGTTTGGGGCTTGGTGTTTGGGGCCCGGTGTTTGCAATTGGGGGTTGAGGTTTTAGTGCGTGGCGTTTGGGGTGCGGCGCGTGGTGTTCGGGGTGTGGTGTGTGTGTGTTTTTTATTGTTGGGGGGAGACCTGCGAGGGTCTCGCCCGGAGAAGCAACCGACTCGGAATTTGGCCACGCTCCTCCGGAGAACCAGCCGTTCTCCCAGGGAACCCACCCCTCTTCCCAGAGAGCCACTCTTTGCCCGCCCCCCCCTTCGCGCTCCGGGAGCCCGCCCCCCTTTCCCCCCCCTTTCCAAAGGAGGGGGGGGGCTTAGCTATCCCCCATCCCTTTGAACCCCCCCTGCCCGACCCCCCCCCCCTCCCCCTGTCGGCGAAAGAATTCCGAACGGGGAAGCTTGGGAGGAGCCCCCCCCCCCTCCGGCGAAAGGAAGGAACGACGGAGACCAGGGGGGCGCCGAAAACCAACGGAATGCCGAAAACCAACGGGCTATCGAAAACCGGAAGGGCGCCTGAACCAGAGGCGCGCCGGAAACCGAGGGTACTCCGAAGACCGACAGGGCGCCGAAAACCAAAAGGGCTAAGAAAACTAAAGGAGCGCCGAATATCAAAGGAACGCCGAAAACCAAGGGGCGCAGAAAACCAAGAGGTCGCCGACAACCAAAACGGAACCGAAAAGCAAAGAAGCGCCGAAGTGAGAGGATACACATTCGTGTTGGGACACGAGGGCGTATACACCGATCGTTGCAACAGTATTACTACGGGAAGTGATGTGTGCCGTAGGCACTGACGGGAATGCCCTCAGGTCCCTCTGGGTCCTCAGTTTTGGACATGGTCGGTACGACTTGGAAGCATCAAGCCCTTAGTCCTTGAAATTCTTGGCCACTGCTGGGCAGCTGCTCCAGTGGGGCTCTGCTGCGTTTACCCGCTCGCTTTTCCTGAGGGGCCGCGGCCTAGGGAGCGCAGTTAGAGGCCTTACCTTTCCACATGCCCCAAGGACGTCCCAAGCGTCAGTCCTGGACTTAGCGGGCCCCGGAAACGGCAGGGCCGTTTTTTCACCGTTTCCGAAAAAAAACACCTTGAAAATGGAAACGGCAAAAGAACGGCGACCGGAAACGGCAACAAAAACGGCTCCAGGATTGGAACCGGAGCGGGAACCCGTCAAAGAACGGCGACGGAACCGGTAAAAAAACGGCGTCGGAACCGGCGAAAAAACAGCAAAACGGAACCGGTGAAAAAACGGCCCTGTCGTTTCCAGGGCCCAGTAAGGTCCTGGAGCCCGAGTTCGGCGGTCTCTTGTTTTTTACTGGAGGCCCTGGGCGGGACAGCCCAGGAGGCCAAACTTAAAGCAGATGCCGATGCTGTGCTGCATGGTGCTCGCATCTTCTTCTGTCGTGCTTGAGGGCGTCCGCTGCCCTTTAAGACGGGCCCAAGAGGCCCGCAAGAGGGGGAACTCGAATTCACACTCTGAGCCCTCCACCCCCAGATGGCACCCGTTACCGCAAGCAGGCCCGACGAATCCCCCCAAAGGCCCCCGAGAAGCTCCCACGAGGCCCGCTGTAGATGAAGGGCCCTAAGAAGGCCCCTGGAGGCCAACAAGAGGCCAACCAACAGGCCTCACGAGGCTTCCAAAAAGCCTTTGATACACGAGCCATGCACGGACAGAGAGAGAGAGAGAGAGGGAGTGCGGAGGAGAGGGTCATACTGAATGGTGCGTATAGAAAACCTTCAGGAAGGTTGAGAGGAACGCTGATCATCGAGGCAACGGGCAGTAGTGAAGAAGGAGACGGCATGATATCGTAACCACCCCTGCACACACCGAACAGAAGCATGCGAACTCATGAGCACAAACACTGTCCCGAACCCTGAGTCCTGTTACGAACGGCCGAAGCATAATCACCCTCGGTCTCCGGCTTTCCGTACCTTGCCCCTCCTTTCTCGGCACCTCCTTACCACTCCCCTGATCCGATTCCTCCAGAGCAATCGCCCAACCCCATCTCTTCCTCGTCCTATTCCAGCTCCTCCTCTGTTCCCACCCTATCCTCCTCTTCCTCCCCTTCTCTCCTCCGCCTCTACTCACCTGTATGCGGCTTCTTGTCGCAAGCGTCATCATCAGCTCCCTCCGCCCCCGCGCCATCCACCTCCCCCATCTCCCACCATTTTCCCCCTCGACCTCAGCCATCGTGCGTCAAATTGCTGCCCTCTGGCTGGGCAGATCCAATAAGAACGCACAAAAAAACACTAAAATACCCAAGCACCTTGCTCGCCTTGAGGAGGTCCATCAGAGGGGGTAGGGCGCCAGCCTTCAACAAGTGGGGGCGCATCCTCATCACCATCCTCATACTGTTTCTCATTATTCTCCGATGTGTGCCCACCAATATAAGATCAGTGCTGCTTCTCCTCAGCCCTCTGGCTCGTCATCCATCCCCTGCTCTCCCTGATATCCGTCTTGGCACCTGGCACTCTCATTAAATGTGCTATTTCTCGCCATTCAAGTAATTCATCACACTTTGCAGGCTGCTGATACTGCAGAAGGCGAATTTACTGCTGCGGCTATCATCGCTGAAGCTGTCGCTGCTGCTACCCGTGCCGCTGCTGCCTTTGAGCAAGCATTGCCAATAGGCACCGACATCAAGAACCTCAAACGGCAATCCGTGTTCATTGCGCGGGTAGTGTAGAGAGGACTGGCACACGAGCTCTACACTGGCTACGACGACTTTGTTCAAGGATGTTCACACCAACGGGGCACCGTCCCTGGGTTACCGAGCTAGGGCACATTGGCGGCGCGCAGAGGGTGTATGGGGGAGGGGGAGGGCTATCCCGACACCGGACGGCGAGGCAAGCCACAACGTAGACGGGACTCATAACCGCGTACACCGACCAGAAAAGCTACGGATTCGATCACCCCTGCGTGCCAACTGCTGCAAGCGAGCCCCCGGCATGCTGCATCAACTGGGCTGCGGTTATAGAACTGTGCTGTCGAGGGGCTGGTAGGCGTTGCTGCATCTGTCAAGGGCTCGAACTACGGAGGCAGACGTCTCACGGGACACGGGGAGACGTCGCCATGCACACACGTGGCCTTGCCATCCGCCGTGCCGGGAGAAAGTCGGGCGGAGGGGGAAACGGGGAAGAGGAGGTCCGAAAGTGGGGCAAACAGCAGTGCGCCCTAGCCGATCACGTTGGGTTATGTTGCTCCCATCGTACTTAAGGACCACATCCAAGAAATAATTTCGAGCACCCAAAAAATGTCGAAAGAGTGTCGAAACAGTGTCGGACGAATGTCTCCCAGGGCCCGACACATGAAAACGTTCGAGTTTCGGTACTCTTTTTTGGCGCTCGAAAATCTTTCTGATGGTCAAGGCGAAAGTAGCTTGGGGCATCATAAACCTTGGGGGGCATTGCATGCGCGGCAGCGCTGCGCCCCCCCGAAGCGACCAGTCGTGCACCACACCTTGCACCGCGTGCAAAGGAAGGAGGAGAGAACGCACAGAGGGAGGAAAGGGGAAAGCGTGGTGATGACCGAAGCCAGGGCCGTCTCCTGATCCTGAGCGAGGTCAGGGTCGAACTTCCGAGCACGTCGCACAAGCTCTGAGCTGCACGAGGAGCTGAAAGAGTCAATCAACAAAAAACCGCAGCCATTCTCTGACAGTTGGGGGGAGGGAGGAGGGTGGTTCTACAGAGAAGAAAAGGTAGGCCAATTTTCGAGCATATGTCGCAAATGCAACTCCCGCTCCCGCCATAGGAACTGGAATTTCGATGCAATGACACAGCCGTCGGAGAAGGCAAAATCTTCGAGGAGGGCCTTGATGTCAAAGAATGGTTTAGGCTGCTCGACGGCACGGAACAAGAGCAGCACGGTATGGGGAAGGGGGAAAGCGTCTTAGAAGCAGGGGTGCTTCGAAAAAGGCTTCCCCCCTCCCCCTACCCCCCTCCGCGCGTGGCCGGGCAACGAAGAACAGGCATCTGCGGCAGTCCTCGCCGCAGCTGTGTATCGAGGATGTCTTCAGACAGCTCGTCACCCACGACAGACACAGCTACACGACGTCCTGGTCGTCAGAAGCGCCAGAGAAGTGGCGGACGGAAAATGACCAGCCCACACACTTTTTGGTCGGCGGGGCGAGAGCGAACCTGTTCCGCTAAAAGCTAGGCGGGCTGCGCGCAGCTTTGATTAGGGAGACAGGGCGCAGGAAGGCGGGGCCTCAGGCGGCCAGAGCAGGTGGAGCCAGGGGTGCAGGCGGTGCCGAAGAGCTTGCACAGGAGGCGGTAGAACACCCCACACACACGTCCGACAAGACTGCACAGAGCATCGGTCCGACCAAGGCTGGCGAGGCTGCTCGCCGCAAGCCTCGGAGAGCCAAGCTTCGATCAGCGAGGAAGCGGTAATCAGCTTGGGGGGGAGAGCAAGGGGATAAACATGTCGAGAGGAAAGACCTGACTCTCACGGGCTAGCCCAGACGATCATACCTATACGACCACCCTTCGGGTAATAAGGAGGTTCGGGGGGGGAGGAACCAACGTCTCACTCGATCGGTCTCACTATCGATCTCACTATCGATCTCACTATCGGTCTCGCTCGATCGATCTCACTCGATCGATCTCACAACGGATCTCACTCGATATATTTCATTCGATCGATCTCACAATCGATCTGAGTATCGATCTCACAATCGATCTGACTATCGATCTCACAATCGATCTCACATTCGGTCTCACTATCGATCTCACAATCGAAATCACAATCGATCTCACAATCAACGTCATCAGCATCATGAACATCATCGTCATCAACGTCACCACCATCATCATCATAAATCATCATCGGGGCACCCATCATCACCATCATCACCATCATCAGCAACATCACCATCACCATCATCATCGGGACACCATCATCATCACCATCAGCATCATCAACATCATCATCATCGGGACACCATCATCACCATCATCATCATCGGAACACCCCCGTCAACATCATCACCTCATCACCATCATCATCATCATCATCATCATCATCATCATCATCATGAACAACATGATCAACATCACCATCATCGGGGCACCATCATCATCAGCAACATCATCATAATCAAGATCAGCATCATCGGGGCACCATCATCGTTACCATCATCATCATCACCAACATCATCGGAACACCATCATCCTCATCATCATCATCATCATCACCATCATCGGGCCACCCGCGTCAAAATCATCATCACCACGTCATTATCATCCTCATCATCAACATCATCATCACCATCGGGACACCATCATCGTTATCATGATCATCAACTTTATCACCATCATCGGGACACCACTATCATCATCAGCACCATCATCATCAACAACATTATCATCAACCTTATTATCATCATCATTATCATCATCATCATCAGCATCATCATCATCGGGACACCATCATCATCAGCAACATCATCACCATCATCTTCATCAGCATCATCTCATCGCCAGCTCATCATCATCGACAACATCAGGATCATCAACATCATCATCATCATCATCATCATCATCATCATCATCATCATCATCATCATCATCATCATCATCGGGATACCATCATGATCATCAGCAACATCATCAGCATCGTAAACATCATCATCATCATCATCATCATCATCATCATCATCATCATCATCATTGGGACACCATCAGCATCACCACCATCACCATCACCATCAGCATCGTCAACATCAGCATCATCATCATCGGGGCACCATCAACATCACCACCATCACAATCATCATCATCAACATCATCGACATCATCATCATCATCATCATCATCATCATCATCATCATTATCATCATCATCATCATCATCATCATCATCAAAATCATCATCATCATCATCAGCATCATCATCAGCATCAGCATCAGCATCAGCATGAGCATCAGCATCAGCATCAGCATCATCATCATCATCATCATCATCATCATCATCATCATCATCATCACCATCGGGACACCAAAGGGGCCACTGGCGGGACACCGGCGGGACACCGTGGGCCACCGGCCCCCGGAAAGGAATCATTTGGTCCGGCCGCGCCTCAGCTGGGGGCGAGACACTGGCAGGACACCGCGGGCCACCGGCCCCTGGAAAGGAATCATTTGGTCCGGCCGCGCCTCAGCCGGAGGAGACTTTCTTCTCGCCCGCCCACGCAGCTTCGCCTCGCCCGCACGCACGGCACGCACGAACACGAAACCGAAACCGATTTCCCGCTAGGGGGGCTCTCCGTTACATTTCGATCTCACCCCCTCACCTCCGAACCTTAGCGTGAGCGGGTGGTGACACGGTGCGGATGGGTCTGGCAAATACCTTGGCAGGCCACCAAGGTATGGAGGTGTCGGGCCTGGTTTCGGAGGTCACTTACATGTCTCGACAGATCAGCAAACTGACAGTTACATGTTCAGCTTGCGGGCGTTACCCTGGAGATGGTGCACGACATGGGCAAGCTCGTTGGCATCCATGTGACGATCCTCGCCCCAATCGAACAATTTGAACAACAACGCGGACACCCGCACAATTCAAAAGAGGCTGCCAAGGCCGCGATCCAGCCTGCCAGGCATTCCGAAACGGGCACCCTCTGCATGGGATCTCGATAGGCCGTCCAGCGATATTCCGAGGCTGCCAGGGCGGGTGCTTCTCAAGGAGCTTCGGGATCGACTGGATCTCCATCACGGGTGGCGACCGATCCCAGACATCTTTCGAGTTGCTCCCAGAGCTGGCCCTCCGTGCGTAGCACTCTCGACGAGGGTGTGACCTCGCACCCCATGGGCGCACCTCCTCTCAGGCGTTGCACCCGGCGCAGGTCGCCCGTCCCAACTCCGTCCAGGAGCGATCGGTGAACGTGGAGCACGCGTCGTCTAGGAATTCCCCGACGCGCTCACGGCGCCGCCCCCGCAGGTGACGATGAAAGCACACTGCTCAGTCCCCGTGTATCGGGAGCGGCCAACAGGGGGGCGTCCAAGGGGGGTGCAAATCATGGCCGGCAGCATGTGCGCGGCCCAGCGGAGGGGGGGCCAGGGACGTAATGAAATAAGAAGAGGCGCCATGAAATCTGGGGAGATATCATGGCCCGCGCCATGATACCCCCCCCCACTAGTCACCCCCCTCTTTGCCGCCCCCGAGTGTATGCTGCTCGAGAGAGGCCCCCGGGACCTCCAGAGGCTCGTCGCGCGACGGCGGGCGCACACTGGCGGGCTGGGCACGGGCTCGACTGAAGACGGCTGGTGCGAGAAAGAGGGCCTGCGCCCATGCTCAGGCCTCTTTTGTAGGCCTCCTACATCCTACGTCCATGCTTAGGCCTCTCATTTTTTTAGGGCTCCTACGTCCTACGTCTAACATCCTTTTTTGTAGGTTTCCTGTTGTTAGCCTCTAGTTCTCCCTCCCGCCCAATCGCCAACCTGCGGGCAGACATCCACCGCCAAGAGCAGTGGGCCCCACATGGGCAGCCGCAATCAGCTCTGACTGCTTGGACTGGCTCGTCGACTGCCGAGCTCAGAGCAGAGAACCCGATCAAGTCAGCTCGGCTCGAACGGCTGCCATCGTGACCTCTGCTGGGACGTACCGCGCCTATGAGATGCCCCCGAGATACCTCTGCCAGTGCACCATCAGGGTGAAGATTGGACTCGTCTCCGATGAGGACTGGGCACGGGTGCTCGGCCCAGTCCACTCCCGGGGCCGACCAGATCTGCATAGTTCTAGCTGGATGCACTGCCCCGAGGTGGGCATAGCCCAAATACACGGCAACCACTCCGCCTGGCCGACTCTGAACTCACGGGCGAACCAAATAGCCGGGGATGAGGGTGGCTTCCCCGGCTGCCCAAATTTGCATGTGGCCCTCGACCGGCAGGGCAGCCCCACCGCTGGGCCCTCCCCCTGGGCCATTCGAGGCTGGCGCGAACCGCCCCTCAACTTCATCTCCTGCAGCATGACGATGCCTCCTCCGGCCAACTTTTTTGCCATCTTCGAGAGCCCCCCAGGATCCACGATTCAAAGTCGTGAGCTGGACTGCCCGTCTCTCGACCACTGGAGAAGTGGAAGTGCCTCCCACTCCAGAGCTGGTCATTGGAGAAGATGCGGGCGCACTCTGGCGACTTGCCCCTCCAGCCGTTGCCTCCGCCTTCCTTCTCAAGGGCTAGCTCCATGGCGGTACCCCATCGGGCCCACCTGAATGGACGTGCTGGAAGTGCTCCGCCCCGCAAACAACGACACCGAAGAGGTTGCAATTGCAGGGGGTCGCCCTTCCCCTCCGCTTTCCCACCTCCGCGGAAATCCTGGAAATGCTCGGCGCCCCAGGCCGCGCCATCAAAGAAGGCGTGACAGTCCAGATCGGCTCTTCCCCTCCAGCCGACAAGTCAGCCTTCTCAGGGGGTGGCTTCGCTTTCCCGCCTCGCGAACCCGATGCTGAAGATGCCACGCACGATGAGGCAGATCCTGGTCGCCAAATCTGCTGCGGAGGAGTTGGAGGCTGTGCGCAAGCGGCCCCCGCAGCCGCTTGCGGCTGGCGCGTGACCTTCCTGGCTTCCTTGGCCGCCGCCACCAGTCTCTGTGATCACTCCCTTTTCGGCGGTGGACAAACCTCCCTTTAGTAAACCACCCTTTAGTGAAAACGGCCTGGGGCCAAAACCGACGGAACTGGACCCGCAAAAAGGACGGCCGCGACGCCCTCTCGCGAACCGAAAACGGCCAATTCGCGAATCGACGCGTCGGGGTATGAGGCTTGTCCACTCCCGACTGTTCTGGCCCTGGCCCCATACCCTTCGTGGACCCCTCGGCTGCCAGGAGATCGTCGAAGGAGTCCTCATCCATGGCCACGGCGACATCCTCAGGTCGTCGCTGCGGCACCAAGCCCCCTGAGCCAGACGCTGCCACAGGCGGTGGCACCGGCTGATCAGGCTCCACCTTCTTGTGCTTCTAGCATTGGGCGCCGCCCACAGGGCCGTTGCCTCCTGATCGATATGGCCTTTCCCCGAGAGTGTCCCAAGCCTCGTGTCCAGGGTACCGAGTGCTGCTTTGGAAGCGCTAGTGCAGGGAGCCCCTGGGGTTGAGCCGATGGGGTCTTTGAAGGGGCCATGGGACACACAAATAAATACGCACAAATAACCAGATTCCCCATATGTTCCTATATTTGGGGGGGCTGTGTCTTCCCCCCCCACACTTCCTACATTTTCGCGTACTTTCCTGGGGATCGACGATGAATTGTGTCTGTGTGACCCTGCTGCTTCCCTCGTGACCTGCTGCTTCCCCCTCCTGGGTCTTGGCCTCTTCCCTCGTGACCTGCTGCTTTTGCAGCCCCTTATTCAGTCTGAAGGGCCTGCAGCGCTGCGAGATTCTCAAACAATACCTTCCGAGCATGCCTCACACTTCTAAAGCTGGGCGGCCGTCTTGCGAATCACGCTATCGGCGCACCAAGACGGCGTAAGGTGGGCCGTCCCGAACCTTGCGGACATGATCCAACACTTTCCTGAGGTGGCCGGCTTCTTCTCGGCCCAGCTGGTTGAACTTGGAGCCTGCACCCCCGATGAGCTCGTTGAGGGAATCCTGCAACTCCCAACTCTTGCTCGACATTGGTGGGCTGGGTCTCGCGGTCACGCTGGTTCCCTCTGCGGCGCATGCTCTGGTTTGTCCATGATCCTTTGGGAAACTGTTCCACGAATGGTCCCAACCGTTGGCCGCCTTTGGCCCCACCCTTTGACGGGAACCACGCAGCGAAACTCCCTGGCGGCACCAATCGGCTTGACGTGAGCGAGGAAATTACCGCACTTGTAGCACCAGCTGTAGTGACCAGGATTGCTGCGACAACCGCAACTACCGCATACCACATACCATACTCGCTCGACGTGAGTCGGAGAGGGGGCGTCCCGATGTGGATGAAAATGGAAGTCCCCATTCGGCGGTGGACAAACCTCCCTTTCGTAAACCTCCCCTCAGTGAAAACGGCCTAGGGCCGAAACCGACGGACCTGGACTCGCAAACATGACGGCCGCGACGCCCTCTCGCGAACCGAGAACGGCCAATTCCTTAATCGGCGTGTCAGGGTGAGAGGTCTATCAACCTCCGACCCAGTATTTCCAGGGGGAACAAGAATTCGTCTAGACGAGAACCTCCAAGTTCGAGCCCCCGCGACAAGGGGTTCAAACTTGAACCAAGATGAGCGCTTCGTGCAAGCATACTCCTGCACTCGTCCTCAGTGTTCACCCTCACGCTGCAGGCCATTCCTCCTCAATCATGCCCCGCCTGCAGGACAAGCCTGCGCACCCATGCTCCTGGCGTCGTGTGTGCTTCGCGGCGTGGACTCCGGAAAAACCGAGCTTCCTCCCGAAACACTCTTGACGGCCCCATGGCCCGATGAGGGGGGGTCCGGACGCCAGGGGTGGGGGGGCCCGAGGAGGAGAAAGACCGAGGGACTCAAGCGTGGCGGGAAAGTGGGGGGGGGGGGGTGCGAGGGGCGGGGAGGAGGAGGCAGGATGGAGGAGGGAGGATGGAGGAGGGGAAGAGGGCAGGATGGATGAGGGGAGATGGCAGGAGGATGGAGGAGGGAGGAGGGAGGATAAAAAAGGGAGGACGGAGGAGGGAAGAGGGCAGAAAGTGGGGGGGGTGGCGAGGAGGCGGGATGGAAGAGGGAAGAGGGCAGGAAGGCCCGCGGGGAAGCGGGGTGCCTCCACCACGAGGCTGGAGTGCTGCGCGCTGCCAGCGATGGCCTGCAGCGCGCCCGCCGCGGCGATCCGGCAGGAGGGCGCGGCCCCAGACAGCAGCTCGACGAGGGGGGGCAGGCCGCCGTCCTTCGGCGGGGCTCCCGGACCTCCGAGGGCGCACTGTGCCGGTGGGGTCGGGTCCTCACGAGGCTCCCAAGAGGCCCCCAAGAGGCCCCCAAGAGGCCCCAGAGGAGGCCCACGAGAGGCCCCAAAAAACGGCCCCCAAGAGGCCACCGAGCTGCCTCCAGGAGGCCCCACCGAGGCCTCCCACGAGATCCCAACGAACATCCAACAGGCTTCATACCCACAACCCAGGCACGGTGGCGGGATGGGCCGGAGGCCATGGTGCCGGCATGGAAACGGAAGGAGCGCTTCAGCAACCTGCCCGAGATGGCTCATGGCACCCTTCGCTCTTGGGAGCCTCGGTGGTAAGAGCGTGTTGCGTCACCGTTCGCTCTTGGGAGCCTTGGTGTTCTGAGATGTTTGCGTTGCCGCTCGCTCTTGGGTCTTGGTGTCCAGAGCTTGTTACATCACCGCTCTCTGTTGGGAGCCCTGGTGTTCAGAGACTTTTACGTTGCCGCTCGCTCTTGGGAGCCTTGGGGGCTCTTAGGGGTCTTCTTGGGGACCTTTCGGAGCCCTTTTGGGGCCATCTTGGGGCCCTCGTGGGCCGTCTTGGCGCCCTTTTAGGCCGTCTTGGGGCGTCTGGGAGGCCTTTGGGCGTCTTCGGGCTCTCTTGGGGGCCTCTTGGTGCCCTCTTGGGAGCCTCTTTGGGTTCTCTTGGAGCTCTCATGGGCTCTCTTGGGCCGTCTTGGAGCCCTCTTGGGCCGTTTGGGGGCCCTCTGGGGCCGTCTTGGGGCCCTCCCGGGCCACTTTCGGTCTCTTTTGGAAGCCTCTCGGGCCATCTTGGGACGATCTTTAGAGCTTCTGGGGCCGTTTTGGGCCGTTCTTGGCCCGAAAAGGCGAGGACCCCCAAAACAAGTAAAAACAATTGAAACATCAATGATTATTGCCTCTTGGCGCCCTCTTGGGAAGCCTCTTGGAAGCCCTTTGGGCCGTCTTGGCGCCCTCGAGGACGGTCTTGAGGCCATGTGAGGCCACCTCTGAACGGTCTTTGACGGACTTGGGGTCTCTTGGAGCGCTCTTGGGCCGTCTTGGAGCCCTCTTGGGCCCCTTTTGGGCCGTCTTGGGCGCCTCTTGGGCCGTCTGGGCCCCCTCGGCGGCCTTCTTGGAAGGAGGGGTCGGCCATTAACCGGAGTTGGGCGCGCCTCGCCCCTCCCTAGAGGGCTTCGCCCCACCTGAACGTCATCACTCGTACCTCACTCTTTCCGTTACCTGCTTGGCCCTGGGACGGAAAGCGCAGTAACTTTCAGAGCGCGAGATGTCGCTGGCTTGCCCGTTCTTTCTGTGTCTCCACGTCTGGAGGCTCCCTTGGGGCATCTTGGTGGCATATTGGGCGCCCTCTAAGGCTAACTAGGGCGTGTTGGTATCTTGGGAAGGCACTAAAGCGCGATTGAACTCGAATGAAGATTATGAGAATGCTGTTGATGATGACGACGACATACTGTCTCCTGGGAGCATATTGGGCCTCTCCCAAGCCCTCCTTGGGCCATCTTGTGGCTCTCTGAGGCCATCTTGGGGCCCTTTTGGGCCGTCCTCAAGCCCTCTTGGGAGCCTCTCGAGCCGTTATGGCACAATCTCCGGCGGCCCTGGAGCTGTATCGGGCCGTTCTTGCCCGAAAAACGAAAAGCTGGAAAACCTTCACAAACCTAAGGAAACAATGGTTTTTGCGCCGTCCGGCACTTTTGGGGGTCCTCTCGGGGACCGCTTGGGGTGTCTTGGAAGCCTCATGGGCCGTACTGAGGCCATCTTCGGCTATCGTGGATCGCTCCTGGGCCGTCCTCGGGCCCGTCTGGGCCTCTCTTACGCAGTCTGGTAAGTCAAGCTGGCGAGGAGCTTACGCGCTTACGTGGAGCTTACGCGGAGCCTACGCGAAACTCACGCGGAGCTTACGCACCCGTTAACAGGGAATTCCATGTTAACAGGCACCTGACCCCACTCAGGTACCCGTTGACAGGGAATTTACATGGATTTCCATGTTAACAAAGCCCTGACCCCGCTCGGGCACCCGTTAACAGGGAATGCCGAGCAATTTCCCTGTTAACAGGTGCCTGAGTCAGTTCCAGCACCCGCCTTTCCATGTTAAAGGCTCCGTTAACAAGCAAAAGGGCATTAGATCCCTGGGGGACGGGATGCCACCCCCCTCGAACTCCCCCTAGTTTCATTCCTTCCGGCTAACGGATCGCACGTCACGCGCGCTGCCCGTCATTTGGGGCTACAGATGCCACCCCGTCAAACTCTCCCTAACTTCATCCCCTCCGACTAACGGACCGCACGCTACGCGCGCTTTCCGTCATTTCCTCCGGTCGGACGGCCCGCTCGCGAAAACGACGTGCGTCTCCCCGTTTGGACCGCCCGCGCCAGGAAGCCGACGAGGCGGAACCCGAAACGCCATCAAAAAGCACCGACACGTCAATGCATGTTACCTCTTTGGGCCATCTTGGGAAGCCTCTTGGAGGCCTCTTTGGGCGTCCTGGAGGCATCTTGGACCGTCTTGGTAGACCCTTGACATCTCATGGGCCGTCTTGGAGGTACCTTAAGCCGACGAGGAGCTTACGCGCCTACGCGGAGCTTACGCGAACTTACGCATAGCTTCGCGAACTTACGCGGAGCTTGCGCGGAGCTTACGCGGGCTGGGGCACCCAAGACGGCCGAAGAGGCACCCAAGACAGTCTCAAACACCTCCAACATACAATGAGCTTACACTCTTGGGGGTCCTCTCGGGGGCCGCTTGGGGTGGCTTGGAGGCCTCTTGGGCCGTACTGAAGCCATTTGGGGCTATCTTGGATCGCTCTTGGGCCGTCCTCGGGCCCGTCTGGGACTCTCTCACGCTGTCTGGTAACTCAAGCTGGCGAGGAGCTTACCCGCTTACGCGGAGCTTACGCGGAGCCTACGCGGAGGCTACGCGGAGCTTGCGCGAGCATACGCGGAGCTTACGCACCCGTTAACAAGGAATTCCATGTTAACGAGGCCCTGACCCCGCTCAGGCACCCGTTAACAGGGAATGTACCTGGAATTCCAGGTTAACGAAGCCCTGACCCCGCTGGGGCACCCGTTAACAAGGAATGCCGAGCAACTTCCCTGTTAACGGGTGCCCGAGTCAGCTCCAGCAACCGCCTTTCCATGGTAAAGGCTGCGTTAACAAGGAAAAACAAGCCATTTGATCTGCTTGGCACGGGGACGGAAAGCGCACTTACTTTCAGAGCGCACGGGATCGCTGGCCCGTCCGCTCTTACACCTCTTATTGACTCCCTTCCCCTCGCTCTTGTCCTATCTCAGCCTCGGAGAGTCGCGGAGCTTTGAGCGCGGTTCTTGTTTTGGAGGGGCGGTCGGGTCGCGTTACGTTTTCCGCGTTTGGGTTGCCAGCTTTCCAGAACCCCGCGTTTTCCTTGCGTGGACCGCTCGGTGTCCACGCGTTGCCGCCCGTCCCTGTGCCCTGGCGTCAAGAACTTATTACGCCGCACCTCTCTGTTGGGAGCTTTGGTCTTATCAGCTCGATTACGTCACCCCTCGCTCTTGGGAGCCGCGGTGCTAAGAGCCTTTGGGAGTATCATGGGCCTCTTGGGGGGCTCTGGGGGGGCCTCTTGGGTGCCTCTTGGTGACCTTTTGGGGCTTCTCGGGGGCCTATTGGGGCCTCCTGGGAGCTTCTGGGTGGCGGGGGTGAAGGGACGTGGCTGCCTTTGGCCGTCTTTGGGCTCTCTTGGGGGCCTCTTGGGGCCTTCTTGGGGCCGTCCTGGGGCAGTCTTGGGCCGTCTTGGCGCCTCTTGGGCCGTCTTGGCGCCCTCTTGGGCAGTTGTTGTGCCCCTCTGGGGGCCTCTTGGGCCTTCTTGGGGCGCTCTTAGGGGCCTCGTGGACAGTCTTGGGCGCCTCTTGGCCCGTCTTGGCGCCCTCTTGGGCTATGTTGGGGGCCTCTTGGGAACAGCTTGGGCCGTCCTGGGGCGGTATTTGGGGCCTCTTGGACCGTCTGCAACGCCATGAAAGGCGGCAAGCCGTATATGCTAGAAACGTACGTTTTCCTTCAGAAAATCATTGATGTTGGCCTCGTGGGGCCCTCTTGGGACGCCTCGTGGGCGCCTCCTGGGGCGTCGTGGAGGCCTCTTGGGACGTCTTGGGGCCGCCTTGGGCGGTCTTGGGCTCCCTTGGAGCGCTCTTGGGCAATCTTGGGCGCTTCGTGGGCCGTCTTGGGCCGTCTTGGGCGCCGTCTTGGCCGCTTCTTGGGCTGTCTCAGGCTCCTAAGACGGCCCAAGAAGCGCCCAAGAAGCGTTCTCCGATGATGCCTCGAGCGAAACGCTGTTTTTTAAGCCCCGAAGGCCGTCCTACTCGATAAAAAACGAGGCGGGAGGGCAATTAGACCTGCTTGACACGGGGGCGGAAAGCGCACTTACTTTCAGAGCGTACGGGATCGCTGGCCCGTCCGCTCTTACACCTCTTATTGACTCCCTTCCCCTCGCTCTTGTCCTATCTCAGCCTCAGAGAGTAGCGGAGCTTTCTTTGAGCGCGTTTCTTGTTTTGGAGGGGACGGTCGGGTCGCGTTGCGTTGTCCGCGTTTGGGCTGCCAGCTTTCCAGAACCCCGCGTTGTCCGTGCGTGGACCGCTCGTTGTCCACGCGTTGCCGCCCGTCCCTGTGCCCTGGCTGCAAAAATTTATTACGCCGCAGCTCTCTGTTGGGAGCTTTGGTCTTATCAGCTCGATTACGTCACCGCTCGCTCTGGGGGGCCGCGGTGCTAAGAGCCTTTGGGAGTATTATGGGCATCTTGGGGGACTCTGGGGGAGCCTCTTGGGTGCCTCTTGGGGACCTTTTGGGGCTTCTCGGGGGCCTCTTGGGGCCTCCTGGGAGCTTCTGGGTGGCGGGGGTGAAGGGACTAGGCTGCCTTTGGCCGTCTTTGGGCTCTCTTGGGGGCCTCTTGGGGCCTTCTTGGGGCCGTCCTGGGGCAGTCTTGGGCCGTCTTGGCGCCTCTTGGGCCGTCTTG